CAGGCTTTATATCAGCATCAGGTCCTCTGAAAGCAAACATGCCACAGGACGCCTGAGAGCTGAAAAAAGGTGTGATTCAAACATGCCATGTTTAGACAAATTGTAGTAGCATAGTGCCCCTTCTCATCTGACATCAGATGGTAGAATAATAATGTCCATTAGACAGCCATTACCATCCCAAAAATAACATTGTCTTTCCATCCTAATCAGTACCTCAGCTACTGTCCAGGAGCCCTTGAAAACATGGAGACATGAAAACAATCATTACCTCCTTCTAATTCATGTACGCCTGCACTAAACAAAGTTCAGTGAACCCTGAGATTCTGGTACTATTTGCCATCAACTTATACAGAATGGGATCATTGTAGAAGACTCCTGTTATTGCAACGCAGAAGACAAACTTCCTATCCTGACACAAGTCAGGAGAAATAATTTCCATATAAGAAATCAAAGAATCACATAAAATATTGTTTTTCTGGACTTTTTTCTTTCTTTTTGAGTTGTCTTTGCTTGCTTATTGCCTTTTGGCTCTGTGACATCAGAGATAATACCATATAAATTTCATGTCCTGAAGTTACATATATGCTTCAACTTCTCATTCTTCAATATTATGTTGACATAAAGCTAGAGAGACGCATCAAATACAGAAGTTCCAGTCAGGAATAATGTTTCTTAATAGTAATGGCTAGCTTGAATTCAGATTTATCTTCAAGTGCTTATCTAGTAACATCAGATTTGTTTGTAACACAAAACATTATGTAGAAGGCTAGATACATTCATAAAGGCATTGTCTGACATTTTTAGGAATCAAAACCCACACATATTTCAGTTGTGCCTCACCTTCTCTTTGTTCTTGATAAATTACATCACCTGCAAGCCATTACTAGCTTCAGAGGAAGCAGACCTTGGAAACCAATTGAAAAAAGAAATATATATGCCTCTGTGTGGGTTGCAAAAGCACTTCAGCAGTGTATAATCTCTAGGCCACGCAATGTAAACTGCAGTCCAACAGAGAGATTATCTCAGAGATACATCCCTTGATGCTCACTGTTTGTGTACAATTTCCATCCCTCTGTCAACTATGCATCTATGGCCCTGCTACAACAGTTCACGATTTATGTCAGCAGGGCTATGAAACTTCTTTATGCTGCCTCCTAATAATATTAAAATCAAGACAAGGGGAAAAGAAGCAAGCAGTATATAATTACCATCTCTCTGCCAACCATAACAAAGTACTGTTAGTTCAGCAATTCTGTAACTGGTCCATAGAGTACTTGCTCTTTTATATCTTCCTATAGAAGCATGATAAATTAATACCTATTAATTCCTTTAGTGCTAATGAGGTACAAGTATGAACAATAAGTACTAAGTACAAGCACTACAAGCACCAAGTGAAAAACTGCGGTGTGGGAAAGCTCTTGTTAGCCATTTCAATTTACTTTGAACTGTGTACTTTTCCTGCCAGCTCTTTATCCCACAAGGTCTTACCTTGATGGTTTTTTTGTCAGGCACCTCTGTTATCCAGGTGACAGCAACAGATGCTGATGACCCGACCTATGGGAACAGTGCGAGAGTCGTATACAGTATTCTCCAAGGACAACCATATTTCTCTGTGGACTCTCGGACAGGTATGTTATTTCATCAGGGAATGAGTCAGTGTGAAAACCAAAAGAAAAAGTTGCAAGCAGAAAGAAAGGGCAGTGCATCATAGCTGTGGTCAGAGAAATGTGTTTTTGTGGCTTGGAGCCAAGACAGAGAAGCACTGTGCAAAGGGTAAAGTAATGCTGTGGCAGTGAGCTTTAGAAGAAGAACATGCTTTTTCCAGTGATATATTCCTCTGAATGACCATATTCTGCAACTCAGGATCTGGATGGGTTTGGTGCTGTAAATACTCTTGCTGGCTCCTATCACTGAAAAATGTCTTCAACAGAACTAGTTGATAACAAGGCTTAGAGGGGGGGAAAAAATCTATGAACCAGTCAGGACTGGAAAGTGCAAGCTAAAGGATGCGGTTATCTGGAGTAGTTTTACCTAAGGGTGCTCTTGTTAATAACCTTACATTTATCTATAGGACACCCTCTCTGTTTTGCTTGCTTTCTCTCTCACTTTTCTCTATACATTCAAGGTTTATATTCAAAAGTGGAATCTGACAGATTTTGACAGTTTCTAAAGGGCATCCCTAGTGCTAAGGTCAGAAACTCATGAGACAATAGTCACTGCAGAGCCCTAAGGGACAACACAGGAAAAACACTGAAGTTAGCAGTTTACAGGGTAGGTGCTCTAGCCAAAGACAAACTTGCACATGGCATGTATTTTTCTCAGCTTTATTTATATTTACAATATAAATAAACTACTAATGCTCCTGTTGTCGTCAGGTATCAACCACCGACAAATATGGGCATAATCATAGATTTGCTGAGTACCAATTTTTTTCTAAGAAAGCAAAGGATCAGTATTCAGGGTTAGATCCAGTACAGATTTAACTACTAGAATGCAGCTTATACAGAAGATAGGCCCTTAAGTCCAAAATCATGTACTTTATCAGTATTTAACTCCAAGAAAGTCTTTTTCTCCTCTGATTAATTTTCCAGTCACTTAGACCTGCATCTCTGGACAGGCTCAGAGATGCCTCAGCCCTTAGCTGCCTCAGCCAGAAACTGGACTGCCATTTAGGGTAAAGCACTGTTGTGAGCCAGAAGCCATTTCCCTATCACAAGCACAGGACTGTAATCAGCTTCCCCCGTGCAAATTCACGTGTGGGATTTGATAGCTCACAAAATGCTATCGCCGCTCTGACATTCTTCTGAAACAGAGCTAGAGCATAAGTGACCAGCAGCTCCTTTGTATTGATAGATAAGTGATTAAAACATCCAATAGTGGACAACTCATTTCAGTACAGTTCTCCTCTAGCAGCAGTTGTAGTCCTTACCATTTACCTCCCAACACAGCCCCTTGGTTCCAGAGGTGTGCTCCTATTCTTATTCTGTCACTGTCCTCGCAGGTGCCGAACAAGTGTCTATGTGAAAGCACAACTTCAAAGGAAAGTTGAGAGCCTCCTCCTCCATTTTTCCAGAATACTTTTATAGCCTGACCACAATCATATTCGCCTAGAAGATAAAAGAACTCTCCCACTTCCCAAGAAACCATCTGGCTGTTATAGAAAAGAAAGGACATCACCTCTGCTCTTTGCTGTTTTCTTAAGAGTACAAACCTCACTCAGTTTCGTGAAAGAAATGGTGCCAGTACATTTCTTTGGAAGATCTCAGGATCTTAACTTTTCCCATAGCCTTCCCCATAGCTCTAAGGACGGGTTTTATGTTCACCACCATCCTTAGCCTTTCTTTGCTGACTGTGTGCAGCAGCTCTCCATTTCTGCACCTCTAGGTACCTGATCTGGCTCTGATTCTTGGTGTCCTGGACTAGCTCTCCTCTAGGGACCAGAGGCCCCAAAGATAGGCATGAGAGAGCCTAGGGTTTAGGCACTGATGTCTTTTTTAGGTCAAGCCAGAAGTGGAAATTCCCTACACAGCATTCATATATGGAGAAAATATTCTCCAAAATGCTAAGTATTTTCATATCTTATTTATATATCCATGGGAGCTGAGGAACTACAGCACTTCACAGGAGGCATTCAGCTTTGCAGAATGGGACTCTGAAGGACTCCATGCAGGAAGATTAAAGTAGTGCACTGCAAGTTGCTCCATACCGGTCACTATTTCTTCCCTTCACACACAGTGATAATTACCAACACAATATCTTTTTACTGCTTTTTTATTAAACCCATACATTGTCTTTCTGCTAAAAATAAAGACTAAATGCAGATCAATCAGGTTAATAGTGTCCTTATGTGCAAGTGCTGTGTGTTGAACCCTGTGACTGGGATGGTGCCTGGGGCTGACACATTTGACCCCACCCTGAAGGGCATTCCAAACGCGTCGCTGGCAAGGGATTATCCCATGGCAGCGCATCCCCAGGCTGCGCTGCCGGCTGCTCGATGGAGTACCCTGGAGGTGCTAGAGGGCTGAATGGGGCTGAATGGGGCTGTGTGGGGCTGGGAGGCTGGAGGACAGAGGACGGACAGCCGGGAGCAGCGCGGGGTCAGCGGGAGCGCCTGGCATCCCGCGGCACCGGCGGCGCTGCCCGGGCAGGCGCTCGCAGCCTCCATTAGAGAAGTGTTGCTGCCACCTCATGTCCTCTCGCAGTAGTGTTATCCCGAAGGGAAGGGAGGCCCTGCGGTCTGGGGGAGCAGAGTGGCTCCTCCGGAGCGTCTCCCCACATTCTGCACTCGCAGCCCCAGCTCGGGTCCCGAAGGACATGAGGAAAGTCCTCGGGCTCATGTCAGGTGGTCTCCAGGACTGCGTGCTCAGGAACGCTCTGGAAAACTTGTCTTAATGGATCTTTTAGCAAAGCACATCACTTCCAGCTTTTGTGCAAAGATAGTAATCCTGAGCAGGGCCTTAATTCAACGTAGCACCCTGTTTCCCAAAAAGCTTTTCCTTGGAAGGCAACCTTTTAATTTTGAACAGGCAGCCTGTCCCAGAGCTGATGCATTTTAACAGGCTTCTTTAAAATTCACACCTTCTGTTAACCTAGATTCCACTTGGGTGAGTTTTACTCTGCCAGGAAAGGTGGGACCCAGTGCAGAGCCTGGTCTCATTCTTGACCCTGGGAATAGGGTGCAGTAGCAAGAGCACTCCGCCCTCTTTGTGTATTCTCTAACTGCCATTTTCTTTGTTCCCCAAATGCCTTTCCACCCTCGATCTCAGGCTTAATTAGAACAGCTCTAATGAACATGGACCGAGAAGCAAAAGAATATTACGAAGTGATTATCCAGGCCAAGGACATGGGTGGACAGCTGGGAGGATTAGCTGGAACAACCACAGTCAACATCACTCTCTCTGATGTCAATGACAATCCACCCAGATTTCCACAGAGTGAGTACCCGTGGTGCCACAACAGGCAAGAAGGGGTAGCTTAGTTTTATGTCTTCTGTTTGCTCTCATGACAGCCATTTTCAAACTCAGGAGAGTGACAACTAGAGATGAGCAGAATTTCAGATTTGATACGGAACTCTCCTTCAGAATAATGTCAAAAGGAATTATTCAACACCTTGCCTTTCAGAAAAAGTTTCTGACCTCCAAATTATCAAAAACAACACTTTTTTTAAAGGATGGGAAATTAATTTACAGAAAAAGGCAGGAAAGAGAACTGTTGTGTTTAGACTGCTCATGGCCATTGCCTTTGGCTACTAATTGCTGCTCTGATTGTCTTTTCATCCTATCTCCAGAGGATGTCTCTCAAATCAGGGACATGTGGTGGTGCTGGAAGTTGAAAGATAATTCATTCAACCCTCCAGCCAGGCCACAGCAGGGGAACGTCTGGGAGCTGTGCTGCCAGTGTGGAGTGGGCTGTCATACAGGCTGTTCTCCAGGAAAGGTTCATCTAAACCTTGGCAATACACAGTTAAACCCTAACAGTTATACTTAATGGATGCAAAAATAGGCAGCTCCACTTTTATCAGAAACACTACTCTGTATTTGCAAAAGTGAACTTCAAAAGAAGATTTGCAATATTTTTTTCTTTGTTTATAAGATTTTTATATCACATTTATTTACATAATTCTATACTGCCGTTAAAAATTCGAAAGAAGCTTTTCAGTTTTGATTTTAAATCTTTCAAGGGATGTAATTTGGGATTTTTAAAGAAAACTGATTCTTTTCGTGGTGTAAATCAATCTCAGGCCATTTTGCTTCTGATGTTTTTCTCATTTAGCTGAGTAATGCAAATTCCCGCAGTTCTTTTTGTTGGTGTTCTTCTCCATCTGTTTCTGCATGTTGCACTGCTAAATCAAAGTGTTCCACTAAGATCAGCAAGAAACCTCAACTTCCACTTTTATTCTTTTAGAGCAACTTCTTGAGCACACCATTGCCGACTGTGTTTTGAAACTGGCATGAACTGTAACTGATATCAAACTCTTGATTAAGAAAAATTACAATTCATCAAACCTCATCCTTGGTGTTATTCTGCCATGTAAAGTTGGTGCAGTCAGCAGAGGGGGTGCATCAAGGAAGGTTTGAAAATAAAGCATGATGCCAGAGACATATTTTAGCTACCACATTTATATTTTCAAAATACACTTTTAAAATAGCAGGTTGTTCTTTCCCCAATTTTGCTGCTAAGCAAATTAGCAGTGCAACAAATGTGCTCAAGACAGTGTTTGTAGGGAGAAGCAATACATTTTAATAGAGTAACTGGTAAATTTGAAAGAAACAGTCAAGCTCCTTAGCTTTCTTCAAGGCTGAAAAAAGTTTGTAGGGACTTGAAAAAGGATTTGTGGTGCTCAAAACTTCCTGCTGTACAAACTGATCCAATAAAAAGATGTTCTGTCCTATTCAATCTGTTCCATATCTTGCTTTGTATCATGGCTGCAACAGCACTGATGTTAATTGTCCTATTTTTCTAGTCGAAGTTCCTGTCTTCAGGTCTATTGCAGTTTTTAAAAAAAAAAACATTCAACAAACTGTTGCTATAACAAACACCTAAATAAAACTTCCCCGGGAAATTAAGCTGGGCTGTGGCTTTTTAAAGGAAATCACAGAGGTGTCCCAGCTTTGAGACAGGTACTACAGATTGTCTACAGGCCATGCAGAGAGTGCCCTCCCTGATCCACTCTTTGCATTACTTTGCAGGTTTTTTTTTTGGTTGCTCTTCACAGCCTGTTTTTTCTCCTCTCTCCCTCTGTGCTGCTTGTGCCAGAGCATTATCAGATGAGTGTGCTGGAGTCTGCTCCCGTCAGCTCCACCGTGGGCCGTGTCGTTGCTAAAGACCTGGACGAAGGCATTAATGCAGAGATGAAATACAGCCTTGTGGATGGAGATGGACTGGATGTCTTTGATATTAACACTGATCCTAATTACCAAGTTGGCATCATCACTGTGAGAAAGGTAAAAAGTTTCCTTTTTATAGTAATTTATATGGCTAACTGTCCTGGTTACATTTTATGTGTGGAATATTCCCTTACGCCTGCAGTAACTTGGTTCCCATTATGTGACAGTAGCCCCTTTCCAGCTGTAAAACACAATTTCTTTAACATTTATTGCTAAAATATGACAGCAGACTGCATTCCTAGGAACAACTTTAATAAAGTGGGAACACCATTAGCATAAATATGTCTTTTCCCACCAAAGGAATGCTCTGATTCCCTATTTATCTATTTAAATATTCTCTGTAGCTTAATTATCCTACAATGCAAGAAATTAGATCAATATTTGCATTTGAACTGTACATATTTTTCACTCTGGTGTTCCACAAACAATAATAAAGCATGCCTAGGAATTATTTATAAACCAATAAAACCCAGGCAGTGGTATTTTTTTTTAATTGCTGCTTGAAGATCCATAAATGCTAATTAGGCTGGAGGAAGCTGTCTCTAAAATGGCAGCTGTGAAACTGCTAGTACTTTGTACCACAGGCTATGCAGGAAGGCATCGAGTATTTTGCTTAGGCTCCCTGCTATGGGATATTTATTCTACAATCTTACATAAATGTTAGAAGTTCAGCTCTGTTTCTAGGGTATGAAATTGTAACCATATTTCTGCCTAAGCATATCTAGTGTACTAATAAGGAAGTATAGTTTCCATTTAAATAGCCTGGGATTAAATTGTGCACTAAAATGGAACAATACAGGGGAGAGCTTTGACCTTACAAGCCTCTATGCCCTACAGCAAAGCATTTAAGCATGTATTTATGGTCACCTTTCCCCAGCTCTTTTTTTGTGCATATTAGTCCCTAAAGTTAAGCATATCTTCTGGAATGAAATAGATGTTGAATGCAAACTCTAATGTATTTTTCCACTCATTTATCAATGAAAGAAAATAGTTTCTTTAATGTGTCAATAAGCTTGACCTTTGTTATTATGAATACAGTTTTGCTACATGTTCATGTATGTCCAGAAGAGTTATAATGTATGGTATCAATCATACCAGATATGTACTGTCATCAGGTACATATTGCTCAATCCACCTACTGCACATAAACATTTGCAATATTTTATGTACGTCTCTAGCTTTATGTAATACTGTGATTATCAACAGCCAAGCACTGGGAAAGTTGTCCTTGAAACCACTCAAGAAACAAACAAAAAAAAAGAAAAATTCGACTGGTGTCAATGCAAAAGGTTATCAAAATGGGGAGAGAGGGGAGAGAGAATTTCTAAACCAAAAATGAAATCTTATTTAAAAGTGAGCAAAACTTTTCCTTTAATTTTTCTTGACAAATTTTCCAAGCAAAATAATTAGCAGTTCTAATGGACATCAGGAAGCCAAAATTTACAGTTACAAGACAAGACTTGCTTGTGGTGTTGTGGCTACTTATCACAGCCTACTAATCCCACAAAATGTTGAGCACCTCCTGAAGGTTTACAGTTCCTTCCAAGCTCCCTGTCTGGGAGACTGATGCTCACTCTACCATCCTCTTCTCCCTGCCTTCTCTTTTGCAGTGCCCATAGAAGGCAGGGTGATGGGTTACCCAGCCAGCACGGCACAAAAGAGAGCCTTTTACTGTCCTGCCTTCCTCCCCTGACATTGCCTGATCAATCACTTTCTCACAATGGGTCTTGCTAAATTCCCCCATGCACGGTGCCGCCTCTCAGTGCCTGTGTCAGCACTGGCAGGACAAGGACAAGGACAAGGACAAGGACAAGGACAAGGACAAGGACAAGGACAAGGACAAGGACAAGGACAAGGAATGCTTTCCATAGGCTGCCTCTCCTCTTGGCTGTGTTTTGCAGCATGCTAAGTTCACAGGAGAAGGCAGCTTGCCTCCCTCCCCATGGGACCAGCATTGGGAAGAGATCTGAAGGCACCCATGGGAGACAAATCTGAGGGGGACAGTGGTGTTGAAGCATTAGCAGAGGAGAGAAATGGGAGGGAAAGTCATCTTTGTCAATGAAGGCAAACAGGAGCATCAAAAATGTGATGATCTAGCACACTTGTCTGATTTTTCTCGTTTTTCTAACTTGATCTAGCTGACTATGTGATTTAATAATGTGATTGGGTTTTATAGCTGTTGTGTCCATGATTTAACTGCTTTTTTTATAACTTAGCTTTGTAGTGTTTCCTATGCAGTTTTCTTCACGTGGGAAAAAATTAAATATAATGGCCTTTTTCTTAGTATATGCTTAGGCACTTTTGCATTGCATATTCCTTGAGATGGAAAATAAGCATTGCTTGGTCCTGTGAATATCTTACTGCTATTTTTACAGGACATAAATATGCCACTGATAGACAATAAGGACTCTGCAGCCAGGGATATTACATCTGTAGAACTCGCCAAACCCTTGCTGACAAGTACTGTGCCTGCAGTAGTCGCTGATGTACCAGGTAGAACTAAAGGCAGCAGGAGCAAGTTTCAGATCACCTGTTTGTAGCTGCAGCCACAGACTGCACATTTTGTACTGCCTCAGTCACTGGCCAGCTGCCCCATTGAGCATGGCAGTAAAGAAATGGGTTATTACTGGCAAAGGAGAACTTTATTGCCACAGTAATGACCTTTGCACCTTTGACTTCCAATTATTTTGGCATCCTCCTTCTCTTTCTTTTCCTGCCCATCTCCATGTGTCAGTCTGGTGGTTGCTCTTCAAATAGAAAGAGCTGAATAGAAGAAGCAAAGGGGTTGGATGGAAACAGCAGACATCTTATTGCAGTCTGAATGAACTGCTGCTGTGTGCAGTAATTCCACACATGAGGCTCAAATCCTTATGTCCAAATAAAGCCTCTCTTTTTGAAAACTATTAATATGGCAAAGAGTGACTGGGTGACCTGAAGATTAACCATTTCTTTCCCGGCACAAACTTTGTCTTGCTCAGAATCCATGCAAGCTAAGGGAATTCAGCTGTGCTGGTTTTCAGCATCAGACCTCCCCAGATTATTCAAGTGACTTGATTATTCAAGTGGCTGTGACCATTTAACCACAGCACAATTGCCTGCAACTTCTCACTGCAACTTGAGAAGTGTGACTGTATCCTTTGTAAGCTGTACTTCATCTGGTAACACTTTTTTTATATTTTGGACTGATCCTTCCATACTGTTATTCTGGTTTGTCAAATCCTTACAGTTATCTCTTACCAAGTCTGGTAAGAAGCACATCAAATATGGAATTTTTCATTCAGTTCTAAGAAAGTTTTGGAGACACCTTATTTTCTTCAGGGATCTGTGACAAGAAGATGGAAGGGAGATGAAAAATTTATTTATTGAGAAGGTTCAGTGTCAGCATTAGTTACTTCTATATCCATGTATATCAAATAAGTAGTTTTATCTAAATAGGAAATAAAATTCATGTAACTACTAACAGATGAAGCTGGGTCCCTTTATCCATTGTCTCAGGAAGGAAAATAAAGGGACAAGGGAAAAGCGAAGAGGGAAAAGGAGACCATTCTCACTCCCTGCTTCAAATAATACTTGAGTATTTAATATTTCACATTTCATATTAAGTGAAAGAGTTCCCACAGGAAGATATCAGGGATACTTTATAATTGAACTTCTTTGAAATTACTGTTCTCTAGGCAGGGAGCAGATTCAAGTTCTAGCATTCATTATACCTGGAGGGTGAACCCATGTTTAGGATACTTACTGAAAGGAAGAGGTGAAAAAAAACTCACTTCTAGGAAGGATGGATTACAGATAAGAACTGGAAGAAGAACTTGCAAGAGAGGCTGACCATGTTCCCTGTTCCCACTGGAGCCCTTTATCAGCTTGGCAGATAGGGGTCTTGGAGACAAGACTCCAGTATCCTCAGGGAAAAAAAGATGCTAACTGGGTTCCCTACCTCCTGTGTGAGCATCCTTGTTCCTGCCACTGGGCCCATTTTTGAGGAACCAACTATCTTACCTTATTTTCATGTACTCCCATTATTGTCTGTTTCTTCACGTATTTTCCACAAAGTGGCATAAAACAGGTTGTGTGAATCACAATGCAATAGTATGGTGGCTGCTTATATTTTCATTTTAGCAAGAAGAATGAAATAATGTGTATTTTGAAGTGATCTGCAAGTATTTCTCCTGGCTTTTTCAGCTCAAATATCAAATAAAAGATATAAAAAGTATACAGTGCCATTTCTAATACTACTGTCTTTCAATACTTTTTCTGCATCTGCAAATAATTATCTTTGTTGCACTTGAAATTAAAAGTAATAATTATATGGCTCAGTGTGCCTGATGGTAGATATATATTTTTTTCCCCTCAGCCTTTAAGTTTTGAGAGCAAGAAAAGTTACACGTTGAAAGTAGAGGGTGCCAACCCTCACCTGGAAATGCGGTTCCTGAACCTGGGTCCCTTCCGTGACACCACCACTGTCCATATCAGTGTGGAGGATGTGGATGAGCCTCCTGTGTTCGAGCCCAGCATCTACTTTGTGGAAGTGCCCGAGGATGTGGAGATTGGGACCACCATACAGATCATTTCTGCCAAGGACCCAGATGTGACCAACAATTCCATCAGGTCTGTCCTCTCTTTGTGTGTTGCCCTACTAGCACTCCTTAGTCCATCTGGTTGGTGGGGCAGTGATGAGTGAGAGGGACTCTGACTCTCTCTTTCCAGCCAGTAGTAGTGGTCAGTAGGTTTAGCAAACCAGACCTCACACACTGAGGGCTCTGTTAAAGCAATGCAGGAGCTCCCCCCGTTCTGTGGTGTGGAGGACATCAGCATCAAGCCTTGCAATGAGCCGGTCAGACATGTCCTGGTAGTGTACATTAAAAACAAACCCCAGAATCTTGCTTTTGCTGGCACAAAACCTGACAGCATCCCTGAGAACCTGCTGCCATCCTGATGGCAAGGTGATCAACTTGCTCATCCTTTCTCCCTCTTCTCTTTCAAAGTTTGCCCTTGCCAACAAGCTCAAACACACAGCTACTTTTGGAGTAGATTGAATGCAAGCGAATATTCAAGAACTGCTAAATTTTCTAGTGTCTGGTCAAAGATGCAGAGCTAGATATTCCCATAAGGTGGTAAGAAAGGTAAAGGTGTATTTACAGTCATGGGAGCTTCATAGCTGCAACTCGCAAGGAGCCAAAGGAGCAGATTTGTGTGATCATAGCACTCTTTTCCATAGTGGCTGCCAGCCACTGCCAGCCCCATTTATCAGAGGAGGCTGTTCTTCTCCAAGGCCAGCCCACACAGAAATTTTCACTACCTGCAGAAGCAACTAGTGACTGCACATTGATTATCCCAGCAGGTTGGCTGCTCCTCTCATCTGAGAGTTTTGAGATTTGAGCTGCTGTTTGAGTACCCATGCATTGTTTCAGCTTCTGAGATGCCTGTGTTCAGGAGCAGCCCTGGGAAATACAGGAGGGAGTTGAAATATTGAGTATTAAGATTTTTTTAAGAAAGTAAAATCTAAATGAGCAATTCTTTGGGCTTCAGCTAGGAGATCTGAGTGGACACAAAGCCTGTTCTTCGTGGTATTGCACTCTGTGTTCATGGTCTAATTATTTTTTTCATCTCTACTACTTTAATATACCTATCTTTTCTGCCTATATTATGATATGGTTATCATACTTCTCATGAAATTGTCTCCAATTCCTCAGTAAAACTATTATATTGTCTGCATCACAATTTCATTACCCTAAACTTTTTTCCACTCGCATCCTATTTTGCTGATTACTGTCTGGCATTATCCAAACCCTGCAATGCAAACAGCTCTCTGCTAATCTGCTTAAAATAGTATAAGAATAATTCTGAGGACTATCAGAGGGTAGAATTGATCATTGTTATTTTTAATGAGATTTTTCTTAGTTTCTTTCAGAGCTTTTCAGTGACTGCTCTTGATGAACAACACTCTATAAAGCACAAAATCCATCAACAAAGATAGATTTAAAAAAAAGTTGTAAATATGCACAGACTCTTTTGTAATTCTGTTCCTTGACAACTTCTTTCTTATTTTCTCCCCACCTTCTTCCTTTTCCACTGCCCTTTCTTCCCTCATTCTTTCCCTCCTTTTTCCCCATGCTGAGGTAAAGAAGCAAATTTAAAAAGTAAGAATAAATACCCTTTGTAATGCTATTTAAAATGCAGATACTAAGAATTAGTTCTTTTATCTTCTGCAATCTCTTTCATTCATTCCAACTCAGTGCAGTGTTTTAAGCCTGCACTGAATTCAGTTTGCACAGGGCAAGGCAAGAAAGAGAATAATCTCAGATACATACTATGTTGCACAAGCTTAAATCCATCTGAAATTTAAACTGTGATCTGGCTCAAATCCTCACTTTCCCAGCATCCAGTACCCGGCTCCCACACTGTAAAATTCTGATGGCTGGAAATATGCCATGATTGTTGTTAAATGATTCAGGAAGATTATCTAAGTGGAAACAAGTACTCCTGTGCAGATACTATTAACAAGAGAACTTAGTTGGAGAATCTAGAAAAAGATCCACCTTGACACTGGTGCTTAATTCTGAACCACTAATTATAAGGCTTTATTCAATTTCAAATACTCATTGGCCTTAAAATGTCAGAGAGAAATTCTTTTTATAGCCCTCATACAAGAATAATTATTATACCAAAATATAGGAATAGTCATTGTCTAAATAAATCAAATGCCTGAGAATCCTCTTTATTTAAGAAGAGATAGGAAGAACTGGGAAGGAAAGGGATACAAACCTGCCATCCCTTCCTCTTTGATTGTTCTGAAAAAGAGTAGAAAAGTATCTCCCAACAACATATTTCAATAGTGGTTTATATCCTGGTTTAATAAGTCCCTATATAAAGATTAAGGCTGTCATGCTTGTTCCAGTGAACACATTCATGCTGAAGGGAGAAAATTCAGAAGAATGAGCCCTGTTCAGTTCATCCTGTCTGTTGTGACTAATGCTTTCAATTCCCCTCCACTCTGATAAAGGAACCAACAAAAAGGACAGTAAGTCTGGGCTCTGTTCTAGGCTGTGACATTTACCTAGGCCTGTGTGTGGCTTTGGCCAAAATATCCCTTAACATGCTAGCAGTCAGCTGGGAAGGCAGCTTGCACAAAGTGCCTTGAAGAGCAAGGCAATGCCTGTGAAGGATACTGAGTATTTTACACACCCTGCGAAATCCTCCCTCTGACCGAGTGCTGCAGTGACCTCTGTCAATCAGCTGCCTCCCTGCCCAGGTTTTCTGGCCTGCAGGCACCACAACGATCCCCCATTCACAGGTGCAGGAAGCTGGCTCCCAGCACTGAACTGGCATGACATTGGTCAGGCAGGTTCAGTAATTCCAATGAATCAGCCTCACAGAGGGAGCTGGTTTTCTGACTGGATGCTATGAGTAAGCCACGCATAATCCCCCTTGTGCTGACACAGCTCCATCGGGGCATGCTTCAGGATGTGAGTGGAGTTTATTCCCCTGAAGAAGGAGAGAATATAGAAGAACAAGGTAGGGAATGGTGCTTCCTCATCAGCCTAGGTGCTCAGAGAATGAGCTGATCTGAAGCCATTTTCATCCTGTCTGAATTTGCCTAGGGACAGGGCATAATTATTTCTCTTAGAAAAAGAAATTATACTCCTCACTGGCAGATTTTCTCTGTAAAGCAGATGTTCCTGCACTGATCTGTGCCTTATTTTGAGGCTTATTCCTGTAAATCTTCCTGTCTTCCAGCTCCATTCAAGTAGTGCTCACTGTTAAATGCCATTAGCCACGTGAACTTTTTCCAACATCTCACTGTGAACCTATGCAAGTCAAAGGAGCACATAATTATATTGTGGAAGAATGTGGATCTGCTTTGCACAACACTATCTCCATTGCTGGGATACTTTGCTGGCTATAACACACAGTTTTCACAAGGGTTGCATAATATTTTTCCTATGTGCTCTTGCAGATACTCGATTGACAGGAGCAGTGATCCAGGACGGTTCTTTTATGTCGACATTACATCAGGAGCACTGATGACTGCAAGACCTCTTGACCGGGAGGACATTTCTTGGCACAACATCACTGTGTTGGCCACGGAGCTGAGTAAGGAGAATGCAGACTGTACATAGATTAAAGAGATACAGTAGACAAAGCAGGCTGAGAGACCTGAATTCAAGGTTCACATATTGTTGTGCACTGAGTGGGAAGGTGCATTAAGTGAATTACTCCTCTGACATCAACACACAAATGCTGCGTTTTATTTATTTTTCATGCTCATTTTCACAGGGTGGGGGAGGCATAGAGGATGGGAATTAAATGCAGAGTCCTTTTTCTTCAATTCATTAGCATTCCAGGGATTTATTTAAAACTTATCCTGGTGTGTTTCTGTCAGAGTCCTCTCACTTCAGAAGGGCTAGGCAGCTAAAGCAAATACTGCAAAGGCTGCACAGCTGCTAGAACTCCCAGTCCTGCCTGGGAGGATTGAGTGGTGCAGAGACTGGTAGGCAGAAGTGATCCTACACTGCTAGGTCACTAGTTGAAATCTGCTCTGGTTCAGCAGCAAGTAAATGACATCGCCATCTGCTTGCTACATAAATAATTTGGGCCAGAGTGCTTTGGGATCTTTGAGTGTGCTGAACTCATTATGCTTTTGGGTTTTACAATGACCTAAAACTCAGCTCAGGATTCATCTGTGCTGGGTATTTTTCAAGGCTGTAAGAAGGAGATGCTCATTTCATAGTGTCAGTATGAAAAATTTAGCTGAGTTGAAATACTGACAGATGTGAGCTTCATAAAGGAGCTTCAGATATATATGCAAATAAAAGGTTCACCTAGTCTTCACCTTAAATTCCTTCGGTTCACATAGCTTTTGCTCAGGGTCTCAGTTCATCTGTGAGGGGCAGCAGCTTTTCTGCTGCTTGGTGCCAATAGCTGAGTCATTCCTTGTGTCTCAGAAAGCTTCCTGTACATCTAGACTGTGCCAAAGGTATGGGGCACTTTGAGAGGAACAAAGTTTCAACAAGCTTCCCAAATTGCAATCAGCCAGCTTGAAAGCAGGGGGAATATTTCACAAAAGTTGGAGTGACTCTGCCACATATTTGCAGGCTGTTACAGCACACGATGCCTTTCTGTGCCGTTTTAAGTAGTGAGAGGGGTTGAGACGATGGGATTTCACCCCCATCTATTTTGACACTACTTTTATTTTCAGCCACCAATGGCCATTGCAATTCCATGACTCTATAAAAGCTGCCCCTGTAGCAGCACTTGAGGGTGAGAGCAATAGGAAGGCAAGTCTTCCTTTGGTTTCCTTTCCATCAATCCTCTGTCAGTTTTGCTCTGTACATGTGCAGCACAATATTTTAATTTCATGAATAGTTTCAAAAATGTCATAGCTGTGCACTCCTGAATGAGGCCCCTAGTGCTAAAGGCTAGATCAATTATTTCTAAGAGTGTAAATGCAGGTATTCATCTGCCACAAGAACAGGTGTATTAGCAAGGGGTATGTGTGCATATGTGGGAAGCTGAAGAGATTACATTACAAATTAGGGAGAAACAACATAGTTTGAGTATTATCTCAATGACACAATGTGACATGTTGTGGAATACAGTACAGTGAACATTTAAGAAAATTCTTGAGTTTATGTAATATATATGATATATATGAATAGATCATCTCTTGCTATAAAGGGAGATATATTTGGAGATAAATGTAAAAAGTGCTACAGCTAAAAAGAAGATGAGAATACTGATATTAAAGAAAGTTCTTGATTTTTGCATCTCTTCTGATCCCTTATTATTTTTTTCTTTCTTATTATAGTTTCATTTTATCATAAAATCGGGGGGGTGGGAAGATGATTTGGGGCAGACAAGCACAGTAAAAAAAACAAATTATTTTATAGCCACTTAGTTTGGAATTTGTGAAGACATGTGAAAAGATATACGGATTTACTGGCAAAGAAAGCTAATGCACCAGTGGGACAGAAACATCACAAATGATGTCATGCAGAATGTAAAATTTTCATTGCAATTTTAAGCTTCACTGAAAGCTTTTCTGTACAATTTCATGTGTTATTACATTTTAAACCCCTCTGTACAAAGTATCAAAGACTTGACACTATTTTTGAGTTCAAGGAACATAAATTCTGAGCAAAAGCATATCTGTATTGGAGATAGAAACTGCCATTTTTAACAGGTTCTAAATAACAAGTCTATCCTTAAAACAGTACCTTCCTAATTCATGCCACCAGTAGGGAGGCTCAACAAACAGTATTGCCCAGTTCAAGGGCAATAAAAAGCAAAATAAGGGACATTGTCTAAAACCTTTGCTCTAGAAATAGTTCATTGAACTGAACCAGGTTGAAGTCTTTTACGGAATTTGTTTGTTTGTAAAATATGTGATTAGATAGGAAGCCAGGCTAGACAGAGAGCAGCACTTGCAGCTTCACTCTGAGTCACACAGTACCCAAGCCACCACAGTTCCTGATGGGAAAATGTAATTTAACACAAGCTAGTAGTGGAAAACCTGCTTTACCTCTTGAGCAGAGTGAAGTGCAGCCTCTTCCCCTTGTCATAGGTTATCTTTCTTTACATTAAACCTTCTTCTTCCAGATAACCCCTCACAGGTGGGCAGTGTCTCTGTGACGGTGAAAGTCCTGGATGTGAATGATAACGCACCAGAGTTTGCAAGATTTTATGAAACTTTTGTTTGTGAAAATGCCAAAGCAGGCCAGGTGAGAAATGCCTCTAACACGAGGGGTTGGGAAGGGCATGCTGTCCCACATGGAGGCAGCATGCCAGGAAGGGTGAGTGTTGGAAAGAGGGCTCAGCTACTCACACATTTCATCTGAATTCTTAGCAGCAGCTGTCTGTGCTTCATTTCAAAGGCAAGCATATCGCACTGGAAGGAATATCATATATAGCACCTCTTTTGTTTCTCCCACATTTCTTTTATTCTCCCAAAGTAGATTCTAGGCACACTGCACAATACATTTCACAGCTGAAACAAAGCCTTTCCCTAAGGCATGTGCCAGCAGGCGAACAGCCAGTGTGTCCTGTAGCAGCATCAAAGACAGGAGAAGTGTTATGAGAAGTGCCACAGAATCAGCCCAGGCCACGTGTGACAGACAAGGCTTACTACTAAATGTTTTAAGATCCTTAAGCACACCTGGACTTAGGGGAGCTGGACATAATTTGCTACATCAGGTTCAAAGGGGTGCCAAGCACAATATGTTCTGGTGTGAACTGAAGATGACAGAGACAAAGCAACACAAGACTTCCCATTGCATACACTCTAAAAGAGCACCTTCAAGCAAGTGGTGAAGACTCTGCTCCTCTCTCTTCCAAAACCCCATCAAAGCCCTCACCAGTGCCAGAGACAGACATGAGTTCTCCCTCGCTGGAACTGCTGCTAGCTCTGCTGCTGATCTTTAGTGGGGAGCCACTTCTTGCTCCACCACCAGGATCCACGGTGTGGACTGGTGCCTCCTAATGCAAAGCTGACTAGCTTAAATAGCATTTAAACACATACACACACCCCTCATGATCTGTGAAGGAAAAATTATGCGAGTAAGATCACTGTGTGTTCGCTGAAGCTTCTCCCAGCTGTGTGAAGCAGAATGAAATAGCTGCTCACTGCTGGGGTAACTGTCCTTACAACTATCATATATAGGATATCTATGTCTCCTTTGTCTCACCAATTTACAGAGGTTCTTAATAATATAGGCAATAGAAATCATTGCCTAGACCCTTTTTTCCTGGTTTTGAAGGGTGAGTGTCCTAACTAATAAGCTGTCTAAGTTCAATATTATTATGAATGCTAATCTGGACTATTTCCTTCAGCAGAGAATGCTAAATTTTACTGCCACATTTTAAAAAGTTTTGAAATCAGTTTTAAGGTGGTGAAAGAGCCTTTATGGGTCTGACATTTGCCTTTGAATCCCAAAATAACTTTCAAGTTAAAAAAAAAAAACAGGTGAAGATTTATTCCTTGTCCAAAAAGACGCCAGAATGTTTATTCAGACAGTGCTCATTGTGCTTCAAGCTGTTAGACCTACTTTACAAAGCCTCTATAAGTGAAGTAACAAATCTCTTTTTGGATTAAGCATTGCCTTCGTTTCTTTAGTTTGGTGTTATTTATTGCATATGCATTCTGCATGGTTGGCTTTTCTCTCATTTACACTGACATCTTAGGAAGAATTTTATTGATTTAAAACTAAAAGAGTGGCAAAATAATCAACCTGAAGTCCTTTTCTACCTGCATAATGAAGCTGAAAGTAAGTATGATCTTTCTTACAAGCTCTCTAATGCACAATGAATCTTCTGAAAAACCTGGGCCCCCAAAAGGCAAAAAGAAATGTGCAACAGAAGATAGGAATGCATGAGAGGAAAACATTATTTCTGTTATTTGAGGTAAACTGAATATCTCCTCCTTTGTTTAAAAGTGATGTGCATGACCACAGCAAAACAGATGACCCCTGCAAGCTTTTGAGTCTCTTCTTGAGAGAAGATTGTACTTCTGAAAGGCAATTTTATTCAAATGCTCCAGTTGCCTATATTTATACATATAAAATACATGTTATCTATTTGATTGTTTGTTTATATTAGAAATATTTTGCTTCTCACATCTTTCTACTTTTCTCTTGTGTTCTGTAGCTGATTCAGACAGTGAGTGCCATCGACAGGGATGACCCACAGGAGGGTCAGCACTTCTACTACAGCCTGGCTCCAGAGGCAGCCAACAACCCCAACTTTACCCTAAGGGACAATCAAGGTAATCAGAGTGGACACAGACAGTTAGCTACTCTAATTTCTAATGCCTGAGTTGGACTTGAGAAGCTGTGACTTAGAGTGGGTGCTAAGAGTGCCATTTCAAATAATACCAAGTGACACCTGCTCCTTACAGGCAATAATAAAATGACATACTATTTAATACACTTGAAGGTTATATGATATTTTCTTCTCTATAAATATTCTCTAGCAATAGGCCTCTTTTTTTCTTTTTCAAAGAAATGTGCCAGTGTTTTGTGCAAATTCAGGTCTTTTGGTCAGGCTGCAGGCATCTCAGATTATCGGAGTGGAAATTGCATTTGCTCAAAAGGAGACGCTTAAAGGTAGGATAGTAAGTGTAACTAGAAGACAAATCTGAAGGGAATTACATTGCTCTTTTTTTGTACTCTTCATGTTTTCTCCCAGGCACAGAAAAACGGAAGGTTCTTGTACTGTTTCAGTCTTTTCCCCCAAGCACTTTCTTTCTTTCTCCTTGCACATCCTCATTTCCCCAAGGAAAGAGGGAAGTAGGGAGGACTTGCAGAGCCTTAGGGAGGTAACTTGGTGTACAGCTAAAGGTCTGTGTAAGATGACCTAAGTAGAAATTGAAACAGCAGTGGAAAGATTAATGGAAAACCACTGGCATTTGAATATTCTAACCAGTGGAATTTGATTCTTTTGGGAAAGCTTTGGTGGCTTCAGAGCCTGCAGGAAAGTCCTGCCATAGCAGGCCCCTTTGCATGGCTGCTGTTGATAGATGATCTCCATGGGCAGACAAGGTCTAAAATCAGGTCCACACCAGCCTTCACTAGGAAAGAGAGATGACCTTGAGTGACCTGGTGCAAAGCTTTGAGAGTCAGTATTGAGGGTCTGGGTTTCAGTACGAGTTTAGTGTGTAAAATACCACAAATCAGCAAGCAATTCCAGAATAAATGGGGAGAAAGACTGGCCACCTGCAGCATCCATGGCCAGCCTCCAAGCCTAGCCTTACTCCCACACATGCCTACTTGTCACACTTGCTTCCATAAGCCCCTATCTGAGCCTCTCCAGGCATATGAAAGAGCAACAGAAAGGCTTATAAAGGATCCCATGCCTTCACTAACCAAACATGTCTTAAAACATGCTACTTGCAGTGTCTGGAACCCTCCTCCACAGCATGCTAATGCTCTTTCATCCCAAAAGCATTTTTTTCTATAGTGTCACTGAAGCCTCCCCACACAATTTCTTGTATTTTTATCCCCTTCTTTCTCTCCTTGTCTTTTTTATTTGTGAGTATATATTGCCAAAATAAATGAACAAACATAACACAACTATTGCTCAAGCATTTGGCAAAGCAAACTCATTTCATCCTCAAGGCATTGCTCTAAAAAAAGGAAACTCACAAAACTCCCAGCATCAGATGCACTTTTTCTGTCTAAGGCCATAATTGCAATAATCTATAGTGACAGCAGTGACTGAATGGCTGTGCCTCCCATTGTCTATAAAATAACAGCTTTCCATATAGATAGATAGATAGATATAGATATATATGCGTGTGTATATATATATATCTCACAAGAAGCTTAGGGTACCATTAGTTACTAATTTGAAATAAATATGTTATGTATCAAACCGCTGACTATTTGAATGATCCACACAGTAAGCCACAGTATAAGAAGAATATTAATCTACTAGAGAGCATCCAAAGGAGGGCCATGAGGATGGTGAAGGGTTTGAGGGGAAGATGTATGACATGCAGCTGGGGTCACTTGGTCTGCTCAGCCTGGAGAAGACTGAGAGGAGACTTGATTGCAGTCTATAATTTCCTCGTGAGGGGAAGCAGAGGGGTAGGTACTCATCTCTTCTCTCTGGTGACCAGTGACAGGACTTGAGAAAACAGCATGAAACTGAGTCAGGGGGAGGTTTAGGTTGGCTATGAGGAAGAGGTTTTTCACCCAGAGGCTGTATGATCACTGGAAAGTCTCCCCAGGGAAGTGGTCATAGCACCAAACCTGTCTCAGTTCAAGAAGTATTTGGGCAAAGCTCTCAGGCATACACTGTGACTCTTGGGCTGTCCTGTGAAGAGCCAGGAGTTGGACTCAATTATCCTGATGAGTACCCTACAACTCAGCCTGTTCTATGATTCTATGATTAAGGGTTTATTTACTGCCTCAGCAATTTGGAGTGCAGTAGTCATTTCAGTAAAAGTAATTTATGCTTATATTTTCATCTAGGGACCACTAAGAACTACATAAATCATATAACTTAGGCACAGAGGGGGTAGCTATACCATTTGTCACAGGGTGGCTAGACAAGAAACAGAACACTCTTTGCTAGTCTCAGACTGTGCCCATAAACACGAGGCAGGAATGCTTCCCAGGCTGTGGGAAGGCACTGTTAAGATTAGCAATTGTGCTGATTACTTGGTTGTCCAATAGAGCAGTAAGAGAAACTGCAAGATGTGTAGCCTTCTTGGCAACAATTAAAACTTTGATTTATACTGAGCAACCGATAGCTCACAGTTTGCATTCTGATGAGCTGTTTTACATATTTTTTTGGCCCTTGTAATTTTAGTCTCTGAGAACTTCTTCAGTCTATTCATTCTTTGCATATCTTCAACAGACAGAGAAATCCTTTTGTTCTCCTTTATAGATGGGGATCTGGAGCAAGGAGAAATTAAGCTACTTACACGCTAGGTTCTCTTTGAGTTCAGTAAAATCAGTGAGAAATAGACGTGTTAAGTAGCTGCAACAATCTGGGCACAAATGGCTTCTCAAGGCCTTATAGGATAAATGTGATGAAGCAGAGAATTGAGCTGGAATCTCCCATCTCTTTGGTATCTGCTGCAGGGCATTGGCAAGCCATCCTCCTTCCACCTTCTTCGAGGTGAGACTATGCTGGGAAAAAGTTATAGAGTCTTGCTGTAAGAATGAACAACAAAATAAGCTTACTGCATTTCCAGATTAAACTCTGAGCTGATCTTCTGTTGAACCTTAATCACTGCCCTCCTGGGGAACCAGGAACTGTTGAAGAGAGAAGCCTTTTTTAATAGATGCAGGATCAGGACTAGTCATACCCCCACCAGGCCTGTCAATTGAAGCCTCTGGCAGTTCTTCGCATTACAATTAAATTTGTCCTAGGAAAAATTTTAGCTATTTCTGCCTTCCCTTCACACGTGTAAGCAGTGAGCTGAATATCCTCAAGGAAAGGTGTGACTCTCTCCCCAGCCCAGTCGTGTCTAGATTGCCTGCGTCCTTGTGTTCTTTCTCCCACTCCTGGTGGAATATTTCTGTATATTGTTACTAACTCTTTATAATTATTGCAATCAGTTTTTAAAGTCTAACAGAATTGTCAGGCTAATCATTCCCAGTTCTTCTGCAGGTGCATGCAGAAAGAAACCAAGTCTTTCTTGTGAGAAGAGCAGTGGTTAGCTCTGATCTCAAGGTTGGGACCTACACTGTGGTTCATTCCCCTGACCTCTCCAGATAGGTACATCATTTCCAGTGAGGCAGAAAACTGCAGGAAGATGGTGCTCCATGGCTTGTTCTCACAACCACATGAAGACACCAGCCTGCACGCCTGTGGGAAATTCAGTTTTCACACAAATGTGGAACCAGCCATGCTGCAATCTTCAGCATCTCTGCTCAGTGTTGGAGCCAAGTGCTGCCATCCAGCCCTCTATGAGCCAAAGGTGCTGCTGTGTTGGAAGCTGGGAGAAAAAATATTGCGCATTCTTATCATGTCTGGTTTTTTTGTTGGTTTGTTTGTTTTTTTTTTTTAGATATGATAGGGCTTTCATGTCCTCACTAGCCCTCTTCTCTTGATGGCTGCTGCTTAGCAGACATCAAATTTAGATTAAAATTGTGTACTCCAGTTTGTGCCATGCTGCATCACATCCCAGCATGTCCTTCGCACTGCACTAGCTCGTCAAATCACACTGACTTTTGATAAGTCACACAAGAAGTTTTGGCATTAATGTATTTCAATTGCAGAGTAACAGGTAGAACAAATCTTTAGGGATGATTTGGATGCCTGCCTAGTACAAAGCAAAATGAAACATAAGGTCCAAAATGTAATGCTAGGAGTTACAAAGATAATTTAATCACCAAGAACATTTGAGACCTGGATGATATGGTCAGCGCATCACAGCAGAAGGTACATATACATACATATCGTTCAATATTAGATTATAGAAACTTGGTTTTGGTCTGAGAATAGAATTAATTAAGACCCTTGATTTTGCACAGGTTCTGTCAGGCTCTCTGGCTGTGACTTCATTTACAGTGAAGTATGACTAACTCCAAATAATTAATCTTCCCCTCACAAAGAGCAATTTTACATGAAATGAAGGTTTGCTGTCACCTAAATAGAAATTGTGATTTCTGTTGTAAGTCAGTTTAAAGAAAGTGAATCTTTCACCCAGGAAATGGAAAAACAACCAAATTACTACAGTTATTACAGTTACTACTACAGGTGACTCAAGTATTTTCATTTACACAGCATAAAGGCAGGCACTTTGCCACTTTCTGCCTTTGGGCTGCTTTTCCTCATGCCAGAACTGGCCCAGTGATGAAAAGATGTGATATTAATAGCTATGGAGTACATATAGAGGGCACATAAACAGCCCAAGGGAGAGAAAGCACTTGTATGTGCCCCAGGAGAGAGAAGGGAAAAGTTTGAGCAGGCAAGGACTCCTGTCCACAGCACTCTCCTTGCCCAGGAGCCAAGAGAGGCACAGGGTACTGCTCCCTGATGGGTTTTGGGACACATTCCTGAATCACAGAGTCATTTAGGTTGGAAAAGGCCTCCAAAATCATTGAGTCCGATTGTTAATCTAATGCTGCCAAGTCCAGCACTAAACCATGGCCACCTACACATCTTTTGAGTATCTCCAGGGATGGTGACTCAAACACTTCCCTGGACAGCCTTTTTCAATGACTGACCATCCACTGAGTGAAGAAATTTTTCCTAATATCGAAGCCTCCCCTGGCATAACTTGAGGCCGTTTCCTCTTGTCCTATTGCTTGTTTCTAGGAAGAGACCTACCTATGTCTGCCCATACCCACTGCACATACTCAGAGCTGCATTGCATATCAAAGGTCAAATCAGTAAACACTAACACATAATCAGTTTTAAGCAACTTTGGGATTTCATCTTTCATCTGGTGGTTTTTCCTCAAAGCTCCAGCTCTTGGGATCACATGATTTAACAAGCCACTACAATTTCACTATATACTTGTATGCAGACATGCAGCACACTTCAGAATTTTATGTTACTGGAGTAAAAGCTTGAAATGTCATCGACGTGCAAGAAAATCTCACAAACTGACATCTCAGTACTTAGGTGTGCCTGTACTTTCTGATGCCATAAGATTTGCAGCACAGAGTTTGTAACTTGGACTGTAGTTTAAGTCTAGGAGACAATTCTGGCTAGTCTAGCTTGAGTTTGCCTATATTCCATGGTTGGCTGTATATGATGCTCCTGATTTCCTTTCAAAAAGCCAGCAAATCATTTTTGGTGTCCTGACTACAGTAGATAATATATCTGAATTTATCTACATGTAACCTGAGTCTCTACACTGAAAAAAAAAAAATCACCCAATATTTAAATCTTAGCAGCAAATGAACAGAGAAATAATAAGGAAATTGAACACTTTTATGTTAATATTTTAGGTTTTTTCACAGTCTACTTGTGATCAGAAGGTTTCTTGCCATTCCCAGGCAGCAGTCCCATTGTGCCAATCTACCTAGGAACAGCTGATCAGCATCCTGCATTTTCAAGCATAGCAAATGTGCATTGGTAACAACCTGGAGATGCAGATGGCCAGATTGCATGATCCCAGGTTTCTGGGATCCAACACGTGACCTCTTTTGAACCAAGGGAACAGGAAACAAAACTAAGCAGTAAAAGAAACTGTATGAAGATCATCTCCCAAAAAATGGCACAGCATCAGGATCAGTTTGTAGATCTGCCAAACTGGAAAAGTACCTGTGTTCCCCATTAATCTTTGCTAGCTCAAGCCATGCAGACATGTTTGTAAGAAAGGACAATTTTCATGCAAGTCCTTTGGACTTCTTAGTGAGCCAGATCACATTGGAGACATTCAGTCTTCCGCTTGCCAAAAGTCTCTGAATCTACAAGGCTCAAAACCAGCACTGACAAAATCAACATTCATCTCCAAAGAGTTTTGCTTTGGCATCCTGAGATGAGAATTGAGAACAACTTCCTGAATCCACTTTCCACCTTTTTTCCCACTTTTTTTTAATTAGGAAACTTGGTGCACATTCTGAGGAATTTGAGGGCAGAGATAGACAGGAATTCAAATGCCACTGGTAAATTTTGACATTTAAAAAAAAACACGTTGAATATGAAGGAAAAAGCCCCAAAGGTAGGAATTTCCCTTGAAATGGCCAACAGCAACTGGCTGTTAGGTCACTCTTTTACTATTTTTGTCAGCAGCATCATTTTGATTCCTTTTGATTTCAGTTCTTATAAAAAACAGGCAGTCAGTCACACTAAATGAAGCAGAATGGTCAAATCAAAGCAGAATAATTCTGACAATGATGACACAAAGCATTCTGACTTTTTTCTATGGCAGAAGTACTAATGAAATTGCATGTATTTCACAGAAAAAAAAACGTTCAGTTGCGAATTTTCAACTCGCTGCTGCTTTAGGATAGCAAGCTGGGTTTTTTCCTCTGTCTCTTTGTTGCCTCAAACAGATGACCATGCCATGTATCAAAAACCACAGAGTACCATAACATGTCCACAAGGGCTATATGCCAGTGTCTCTAAAATGGTGGCAGCATCTGAGATCTAGAAAAGCTGCTGAGTATAAGCAAACAGAGACAACAAGTTGCCTCCAACTGCTCATTTCTCTCTTGCCCTCTGAAAGCTCTCTTAGCTAAATCCGAGCACCATGAGTTTGCTCTGGGCATCTTATATCAGAAGGGGTAAAGGCAACTCTTAAGGTTTGCCTCTCAGGTTTGGATCCATGTCCTGAGAAGATACTGGAACAGGGGAAGCAGAGACAAAATTATTAGTGATGAACTGATTAAAAAAAAAAAAAATAGAAGAGAGAAGAAAATATGGATGTGGGTCTAGGGCTGATTTTTTTAACATTCTTTCTTTACTGAATGTATTTGCTCTGCATAAAAGCTGTTCTCTCCGTTTATTTCCTGCCCCTAGACAACACAGCGTGGATTTTGACAAGGCGCTCTGGCTTCAGGCAGCACGAGCAGAACACCTTTTACCTGCCCATCCTGATCAGCGACAACGGGCGCCCGGTGCTGAGCAGCACGGGCACGCTGACCGTGCACGTGTGCAGCTGTGACGAGGAGGGCATGGTGATGTCCTGCAACGCCGAGGCCTACGTCCTCCCTGTCAGCCTGAGCCGAGGGGCACTCATCGCCATCCTCGCCTGCATCTTTGTCCTGCTAGGTAAAGACTTCCCTTCTTCTTGGGTGGGACAGACTTCTTGGTTCTGGTCACGGAGCTGCTGGTCCACCAAAGGTGTAGGACCCAAACACACACACACACACACACACACACACACACACGCATCTGTCTATACATGTATATGTAGACACATGCATGCCTGAAGAGTCAAATCAAGGACCCGATGGTGTAGTCAGCTGCACATGGCTTCAGGCTCTGGACTGTAGGAATGGGGAGAAACTATGGCCTACAAATATTTCTTCCAGATGCCCAGTGTGCTAGGGTGAAAATATGGCCATGCTTTCCTGCAAGGGTATGGCAGTGGGAAGTATTGAGAGCTGTGGCTTGGGGCAGGTTAGTTTCTCATCTTACTCCATAGGAAACAGTAGTGGTAAGCTCAGTTCCATTTATTTTCTTTTGGAGAGAGATATCCCCACCTCCATCCTTTTTCCTTGAGACTCTACATTTAAATGGTTCCTGTGCTGCAGTAAAGGAGCTGAGTGTCTTGCATGAGTTCTGTCTCCACAATTAAATTCCATTCTTTCCTTGCCCAGGCATTCTATGTCCCCTGTTAGCTGTTGGTATCAAAAGAACTTCAGTTCCCTTGTTCACTCTCTCAAATCATGTGATACTAGTTCAAAACACACATTCCCTGAAATTTCAGGGGACCCAGTTTGAAGAACAGTGCAGTAAGATACAGGAAAAATTCTTTAAAAATGCCTCAATTCTGGCTCTTCAAAAGAGCCTAGATACCTCAGTTCAAAATTTCAGTATCCAAAATCTCGGCTGAGTTCTAACTCTGGAAATAGTCAGAAAGTGATGGCACATTTTCAACAGCAAAGGGCTCTGGTGCTGGTACGACCACTTCTCCCTATGCTAATAAGCACAGTGAGGGCGAGGAGCACCAGCACTGCAGCATTGCAGGAAGCTTGCAGATAAACAAAAAATTCTTTGCAGCAGACTAAGGGGCTAGCTCTGCATTTTGCTGTGTAGGCAGACATATCACCGTGGTGCCTTAGCACTATCCATCTCTGTCACATGCAGTGGCCAGCCCAAAGGAGGCTGCAAAACCCACCCGCATAGCAGAAAACAAAATATCTCTATGGCACTATGCTGCTGCAGATAAATTGTTACTGGCCTCTGAGAGGGCTAACTTAAAAGTGGTAAGCACCACTGCATATACATGCCCTAAGTGTCACCAAGAGTTAAGAATTCAGGTGAGAAAGAGGACAGATTAGCAGGATCTCAAGCTACCGGTTTTGAGTGGGGAGTGAGAGAGAGAGATTTCTACACCCCTCAACTTACAAACACCACAGCTCTTTAAATCCAAGGGGCTGGTTGGTCTCACCCAGGGGAAAGTAAGGGCAGAGGAAAGTCTGAAGCCCTGGCAAGATCTGCTCCTTGCTGACAGCCCCGTGTCTTGCTTGTGTCCCGCAGTGCTGGTGCTCCTCATCCTCTCCATGCGGCGCCAGCGGAAGCAGCCGTACATCATCGACGAGGAGGAGAACATCCACGAGAACATCGTCAGGTATGACGACGAGGGCGGCGGGGAGGAGGACACGGAGGCCTTCGACATCGCCGCCATGTGGAACCCGCGGGAGGCCCAGCTGGTGGTGAAGAACCGGCAGGACATGCTCCCTGAAATAGAGAGCCTCTCCCGATACGTGCCTCAGGCGTGCGTCATGGACAACAACGTCCACAACTACGTGCTCGCCAAGCTGTACGAAGCTGACATGGACCTGTGGGCGCCTCCCTTCGACTCCCTCCAGACCTACATGTTTGAAGGGAACGGCTCGGTGGCGGAGTCGCTCAGCTCCTTACAGTCCGTGACGACAGACTCAGAGCAGAGCTACGACTACCTGACGGACTGGGGGCCGCGCTTCAAGAAGCTGGCCGAGATGTACGGGGCCACGGACAGCAGCGGGGCCCTGTGGTAACAGACGAGGAATGGCAGAGGGCTTTCCACGTGAAACGGTGTCCGGTTCGGTCCATTCTCATCAGATGCTTCCATGGACGTGGGTGAGGCCTCATAAAAAAATAGCAATACAGTGCTTGGATGAGAATGGGAAGAAGGGTGCGAAGGAAAGTCTCTCTGGATCAGCTTTACTCAGTTAAATTAAGTCACGTTTTTGAAACTATGAGAAACAGAAGGAAGGAAGTTTTTTCCTGGTTCTTATAGCAAAATTGGAGAGCTCCACACCTGGAATATGGCATTGTTTTCTCTCTCTTCCTTTCTCTCCCCTTTGTACACGGCAGCTTACTGAGCTCTATACATCAGGGTTCAAAGATCTGTAAACTCCAACTCACTGAGAAATTGTCACCACAGAAGAGTTGCTTCCCACTGGTCTTTTTTTCCCCATTAAAACAGAAAAGAATTGCTTGCTAACAAGAGAAAAAAAAATTCTGCAAAGCAGAAAATTGAAACTGGAATCTCAGAGGGCTCCTTGTAAACTAAACTCCTCCCTCTGTTGCTAACAGAGTTCTTTTTTAATCCTTTAGAAACAAGGCTGAGGTTGGGGGTTTTTTTCCATGTGACTGAGAGGGCTGGGGAAGAGGCTTTGGATTTCTGCTCTAGTTTAATGGCTGATCTGTGAGTCATTGGCGTTAACACTAATCTATCTCCTATCAAGTTTGTGTAAATTTATTCTTGACTCTTTAAAACCTGACTCTGCTAAACTGCTCAGAACAAAACCAGAAAATCTGCCTCTTTTGCACTGTAGATGTCTCTTCCATGTGCCAAATGTGAAGATTAGATTCTACCAATGAAAGCCAAATAAATTTTAAAATAAGAAAAAGCTATATTTGGTAACTACATGGGTTAGATGGGCTTTCCTAATCTGTGTGAGGTCAATCCAAGGGATGTTTACATACTGTAGATAACCTACTTGAACAAATGCAGTATTATAGACCAATAAATGGATGTAAGAAAATTACATGTATAAGTTTTGTATATTTGTTAATTTTGGTAATAAATATGATGTACTGCATACAGTACAGTACCTTAGCACCTCTTTTAATAAAAGTTAAACAGAAGGGAAAGTCTGGTGGCAATTTATTGACTGTTTTGCACACAGCAGTTAGTGCTTATCTGCAGCTTTACATGCCTTAAGCATCAAGAAAAAATCGTTCATCAGCATCATGTCAAGGAGACAAGGCTTCAGTTTGCAGAATCGAGCAGATTGTCTGCTTCTTTTATCACTGTTCACTTGGACATTGCCCCTAGCAGTGAATCAGCCCAAGTACAGCCCACCAGACTAGTTTCCTTTCTAATCAAATGATGCTGAGGTCAAAAGAAAGTCTTGCCTGATTTTTTTGAAACATTAAGTCTGGGGCATTGATAGGCCTGGAAACCAGTTACACAGCCCTTGACAGAGTCTCATGCCTTCAGAGACATGACAAACTAAGATAAAATATCTATTTATTCTTACTCTGCAGTCAGTTTTTCACCTGGATTGTCTCTTGTTTGCATGTGTAAATGAGAAGAGCTAGGGAAATTACACTAACACAAGTTTCATGGAAAGTGGTGAAGGGCCTCTGAAAGCAGAACAGTCTGCAATGGAATTTGCAGGTTTATTTCTAGCTAAGGGCTCTCTACACCTCCAATTGCCCAGAAAATAGATGTGCATACATAACCACCCAGTTACCACACTTTTACTATGGACATGCCGTGCTCAGTTACTATTGTAAATGTGCACAAAATATTGCAGTCTCTCCTTTGCCTAATCTTACATTGCACCAATTTAAGACAGAAGCCTTGGTTCCATAGACTCATACGAAGTCATGCATCCCTGGAGAGCCATGCACCCACCAAGGAAAAAAGATTTTAGTGATTTCTTGCTTGCTAATCTGATGCAAATCTGAAAATTTGGGCCTTCACAAACATAAAATGCCAAGGGTTCTGCTTATCACCTGAACATGCTTGACACCATTGCTTGACACCATTGAAAGAGCACTGATAATTATTTTGATTCTTTTACTCATACCATAGCACTCACCCTCACATGTCATATTGATTTTAAAACATTAAACTAGAACTGCAGCCATCATGCTCAAGGAAGTAGTACAAAGGACACAGAGCTGCTGTTGAAAGTCTGAGAGCTTCCTCTCCTCCTGCCACCACAGATACCACAGAGCATATACAGGAGGACATCAATTCCACCACTTCCCTGTCTGATCTAAATATTAGTTGTACATATTTTAAGCAGATGCCTCTTTCTTCTTAAAGCCCCAGCTGTTAAAGCTCTGTAACCTTTCTAGGCAGTCTTCCATGGCATCAGAATACTCATTGCTGAAAGTCTTCCAGAAGTATAAGGATTTACCCCTTGCAGCCATACAAGCCTGCAATGCACATAGATGACTTTGTCCCTCCACAGAGCTAAGGTTTGGTATTTTCAGACCATTACTGTCTCTCCCAGCAGTCACAGTCTGCAGTAACATAAAAGCCTCTAGATTGCTCTTCATATTCTGATTCCATGATGGTTTAAATCTCCTACTATGGGAGAGTGGGAGGATGGAGTGTAAAAGTACAGTCCAGCACCATATTGCCTTCAACCTTCTGCATGTACGGAGGGTTTTCCCAGGATGAGCTGCCTCACAGTCTGCTTTGACTCCACAGAAGCCCCCAGACGTGGCCTCTGTAAGACAGGCTAAGCAGCAGCCAGGGTCAGCTTCTCAGGCTATGTATCTCCCAGTGTGGAAACACTTTTGCTTTTGCACTTTTGTCCTTTTGCTAGGGGCTTGCACTCATGCCACAGGGGAACTAATAACCCACCTTCCTAAGCTGCATGTCAGCATTAGGCTCTCTGATTGTCCTCAGGTTTGCCTTAACTTGTGATCACAAGTCAATAGCTCCACAGCTTGTTGTGACACTTACCAGCTGGTGTTTAGTAGGCACTTGGCAGTCTGGTGCTTTATTTTTTCTGTTTTATGGAACAGGTGACAGTGTTTCTGCAGTCTGTGATATCTCTATGCCAACAACCAATACTTGCATCTATCACACTGCCAAAAACAAAACTGAAGAACCCTCTGCTTTTGCTTATGAGATATGAAAAGGATCCATTTTCAGACACATCAGGGCTCAGCAGGCCCAAAGCAGAAGAGAAGAGAAGACTCCAAGCCCAAAGAAAATGCATGATGCCACAAACTGTCAGTGCAACAAGCACACTGGTCACACAGGTCCTCAGCTTCTTCCTCAAGGGCATGCCTGGCCAAGTGTATGAAAGTTTGCAGCACTACATAAAACCTGCTCATGGTTTACAGCCAGGGAGTTTAGCCTGCTATGGTGGAGGGACTGGGCTTTGCCACACCACCAGACAACTCCAAGGGACAGTTCCAGTTCTGCATGGCACCCCACTCTATCCACTGCCCTGGTGGAAGGACAGAAATGTCAGAGGGCCAGGACAAGGTCCTACATGCCCTCACCAGTGTCCCCAGTTCCCTGTGCTCTAAGATTGGTCTGAGTGCATACAGCTTTTACCACTATTCATTTTGTTTTGTTCCTCTGATGACCTTTTTTCCACAGCTGCTAGTTCTCATGGAAAAACAAAAGGACTTGCTATCCAGCAACAATCCCCTAGTTTCAGCTGGGGCTGCAAATCAGTGGTTCAGGGGAAAAAATAACAGAGCGTGCAGGTCATTTTACTAATTTCAGCCACTTAAAAATTGAGCATATGGGCTAAGCAGTCCATCTCAACTCTCTCTCTAACAAACAGAGTTAGACAAAGAGTGATTCATTCTCCCCATCCTGGCCATCTGTATGATGCTATGGCCCCCTGGAGCTGTAGACCTCTCAGTTAATAGCCTGGCCTCTAGGGATTCATCCCTGCTGCTCAGTCTGGCCCTAGGCATGGCATTCCCAAGCCCTCTGCTCTAAATTTGGTTTTACAAGTGACCATGGGCAAACACTACAGTCTCTGATGTTTTTCTTTCCTTTTCCTACTACTCATCTCTGTCTTGTCTAGGTAGATTGCATGATTTGCCACTCTTATTATGCACTGGTCATCACACCTAGGCTCTGAGTAGCAGTGTTCTCTAAACCATCTGCCAAGGACTTCAGATCTCTTCAGAGCAAAATACAGAACTCAAGAATGCATGAAAAGAGTTAACGTCATTTTTCCTAACATAAATTTTCTTGCAACACTGCCTTTCATTTGTTGCTGCATTGCCCATTTATCCAGCTTTATTAGGCCCCCCCTTGATTTTGTCATTTCTCCTCCAGCTTTTATTGCTCTTAATCATTTTATGCTACCGTCACATTTGTTGCCTAAAATTCCCTTTTAGGCCTTTCATTAAAGCCAATAGTGACACAAATCCTTGGGGGACCCAGAAGTTATATTTTGGTCACCTTGAAATATGATTTATTAGCCCGTGCCAGTATTTTCCTTGATGTGACTTTCACATAGCACAAGCTAGAACCTGCGGTCTGAGCACAGATCCCAGGAACCATATCAAACTGGAGGGATGGATATGTCCCAGAAGTCTGTTCTGCATATGCACCACATCTTACATGAGTAAGAGAAAGGAGGCATATAAAAGAGGCACAAGTGATACCTCACAGATTCCAGAAAAGTTCTGACCTGGACAAATTTAAAGCTGAGGAGATTCAGTTGCTTTTGTGTTTGTCCTGCCAGGGTATTATTACTAAGACCACCTTGGTTTATGCCAGCTTAGCTACCAGTTAGATCAAGCTCAGGAGAGCACGTGGGCTCAATAACAAGTGAGAATGGCACATGAGGAAATCTGTACTGTTGTGAGCTAGTTATGTTGCTGCTGTCCTTCCTCCTGTGTGTTAGGGTGTGAGACAGACCATTTCATCCTGTCCAAGGAATAGCCTTGAATGTATTGTCTCCACACCAAGCTGGTGTAAACAGGCAGTGGGTATGTCAAAGACATCCTAATTTGTGCCTGCTGAGGTGTGCAGCATTCAGAAGAGGAGGAGCTGCATTTCACTCAGTTGTGCCCTGTCTCCCTCATGCCAATCCATATGGCATCAGAGAACTCCAAAATAGTCACTGCTGCAAAACAGCTGTATCACCTAAGGGATTCGTTCTCCTGCATAAAGGTCAGTGATTTGCCTCTCATTTGGACTGTAATGCAGTAATAATCTGTATCCTGTTGAAACAGACAGGAAAATTA